AGATTGGAATTTGAGATTTTGACCAGTTTTCGTCCCAACGTTCTACCACTGAGCTATATTTTCAAGTCCAATATCAGAATGACAAATGAAAAAAAGGATACAACCGTAGCGCATTATTACTTTAATAGGTTCTCTTCACATGCGACTGTGTTTCATACAATTCTAACATTGGTAAATATCGATTAGAATTTACTCTAACTTAGTAGATATTTTGTTATACACATACGCACACACGCACGACCCCCCCCACCACACATTCACAGACACAGACACACAAGTAAAGTCTTTGCCGCAGTAACTAGTGAAGTACTCTGAAAACCAGTGAGTGAGATATTTCCATTTCTACCCTGAGAGAAATAAATTTAAAAAAAAATGGCTCTTTGTTTGCGACGAAAATGCCACAAGACAAAACATTTATCACAAACTGTTCTTATTTGCCAACGAGAAGCAACTGGAGACAATCAAGACCAGCGCATAGTAAAGAAAATAATAATAATAATAAAAAAAAAGGGCGGGGGAAGAAAAGAAATCGTTAGTTTTGAATATATCTCAGCAAAAACATCATTCTGGCGCCTGCAGAGTTTATTATACATTAGGCTGTCATATTTCAATATATGAATGGGCAATGGCTTCTTTCGTTCACCTTCGTTAAAGCCGCGTTGATTCATTCGACAAATCAACACAAACTAGTTCATTCTGGATAGAACATCTACGTCTGGATGGAACGATCAATACAAGAAAATGGGATAGAACCGAATGTCTACTACTGTTAAGTACACTCTGCCAGTAGTTTGAAGGTGTATCAAATTCAGAGCTGAAGTAGGCAAATGGAGGAAGAGAAATTCGAATTAGTAGTTGTCTCAGTAGAAGAAACGGAGCTGCTCCCTGATTGAGGAAGACAGTGATTAATCCATGTCAAGGCTGACAATGTAGGTGGCAGCTTTTAGTAGCGATTCTCTGGATAGAAAATGTATTAGTTATAGAAGTGGGCTTTGTTCAACTTTCGAAGTTTTCTCGGTCGAAAAAGAGGAAGTCATATAACAGGACAGACAAAAATTCAATGTTCTTCGATTGAGGGAGACAATTACTGACCCTGTGGAGGTTGACAATGTGGGTAGCAGCTTTTAGCATCGACTCCTTCGATAGTAAATGTAGTATTTATAGAAATGGGCTTTGTTCAACCTAAGTAGTTGTTTCAATCAACAAAGAAATCAAGCAAGAGAAAAGAATTAAAAAAAAACTGTTTCCTGAATGAGGAAGATAATGATTGGTCCCTTTCAAGGTTGATAATATGAGTAGCAGCTTATTGGGAAAGGTAGTAATTATAGAAGAGGGTTTTATCAATAGAATCGTCCCTGGTTCCATCAATTATTGTTGTATGCCAATCACGAGAGATCGATTTACGTGACGATGAGATTCAACTCGAAAGGACTGGTTTTATAGCTGTAAAGTGACTCGGATTGAGTAATCGGAGAGCCGAGTTCGAATTCCACTCGAATCCATTATATTCACTTATGTGCTAATACCCTTGGGAAAAGTATGAATCCTCTTTTTCTCCCCCCAGCTATGGGTAAATAGCAGGACAGACCGGTTCTATAAATTCTGGTCTACCGTAGAAAGAAATGGCAACCTACCATCTGCCTTTTGATACATGATCACCTAAGTGTGTATCACGCATGGCACATAACTAGCTGATATTAACTTACGCGCAAATACTCTAGGGAAAGGTATGAATCCTCTTTTTCTCCTCCCAGCTATGGGTAAATAGCAGGACAGACCGGGTTCTATAGCCTTGGATGGCAACTGGTCTAGCGTAGAAAAAAAATGTCAAAGACACGCATAACACATAACTGACTGACAGAAACACTTCCAGTCAGAACTGGAACTTGGTTCGTCGTTTGATTTTCCTGATGACCGGCATATCAACTCACTTGGACATCGTAAAGAATGTAAATTACTAGGCTATGAGGCAGGTTAGTTTGATTGAAAAGGATGATCTCCAATCCTTTAAAACAAATTTTAATCCAAAACGGATTAATTAAATTGGAGCCAAATAGAAGCGCATTTATTTTCTTTAAGAAATTATTAGTGTTCATTGATAAATAAACCTTCAACTCCCAGAAAATAGGGTTTTAGATCAGATTAATTAAAGAAACTAGTATTAAAGTAAAGTAAATTTAATTCTCTACAAATCAACAAGCGTTGATTGATAAATAAAGTCTCTATTCCTCTGAAACAAGTTTCTCAAAATGTGTGTGTGTGTGTGTGTGAGATCGGATGTTGTTTATGTTTTTTCACAGTTTTCATTCGATTTCGATGAAATTTTTTTGTTTGATAGATAATTCTTCAGTGCCAGTTTTGAGTCCAAATTGGCTGGAAAAAAAATTACAACCTTGAAGGTGACAAATCAAAAAAACTGATTTTTTACACTTTGCGCAAAAATCAAAAGCAGAATTTAATGTCTGTAAAAACAGTGTACAATCAATTTAGAGAGTTGAAATCTAACGCAAAAGATTATTAGAATTATAAAAAAAATTATATTATAAATAAAAATTATCGTATATTATTATTATGACGGTCCATGGAAGAGGTTCCTCCCTTGCAAGATTGAGAACGTAAGAACGGCTCTTTTCAGGGTCACCTCCCATTCAAATTTTCACCCCTCCCTCCCATTTGGGGATGTGCCTTAGTTGCACCCAAGTGTTGTTATTAATATTGATTTTCGGGTTGGCTGAATTTAAACTTAAACTGCTTTAACTGAACGGCAAAAATTCCCAGTAATGAAACACCCGGTCGAAGACGGCTTATACTGCTAGTATACGAAAATTTTTATTTCTATTTTTTTTAGGTTTTTATTATTTTATCAGCCAATTTGGACTCAAATCCGACCTTGAAGAATTATCTATCAGATAAAAAAAAATTTTCATCAAAATCCGATTAAAACTGTCGAAACGCATAAACAACATCCGATCACACGCACACACACACATACATAAATACATACATACATACATGCATGCACATTTTGAGAAATAAATATAGATATGACGGTCCATGGAAGAGGTTCCTTCTTTGCAAGATAGCGAGCGCAAAAAAAGGCCCTTTTCCGGGCCCACCTCCCATTCAAATTGTTACCCACCCCCCATTTGGAGATGTGCCTCAATTGGACCCAAGTGTTGTTACTAAAATTGATTTTCGGGTGGGCTGACTTTAAACTTAAACTGCTCCAACTGAACGGCAAAAATTCCAAGTAATAAAAGACCCGCTTGAAGACGGCTTATGCTGCAAGTGAAATAATAAATCTGTTTTCAAAATGTAATAAATTTATTATTCTTCAAATTTCATCATAGTCAATATTCTGTACACGTTTTTGTTTTGTCAATGAAAAAGATTTCTAATCTACTTTTGATCACCTCGCATACAGCTTCAACTTCGGAATCGGCCGTAAATTTCCACGTGCCGTATCCCCCCCCAGGACGTAGGCAATCATGGTTCTCCAAAACTTCCCATCCTTTGTAGCTCTTAAGAAATTTTGTCTTTTTGTTATTTCTCCTAAACCTTGGCCCACCATCCATTTACACAAGATACCGAAGTCATGCTTTGTTTTTCTCTGTCTCTATTGCTTTCATGCTTTCCTGTGAGTATCAGATTTTCCAGGCCCTCTGTCCTCATTAAGCGTCTTACAAATTTCAACTGGCTCTAACTGACATTAAGTATAAATTTCCTTTTTGTTTCCATTTTCTCTAAAACTTCGTCGTTGCTCACATGTTCGGTTCATAGTATCCTCAGCAACCTCCTGTAGAACAACATTTCTGCTGTTTCAAGTCCCTTATTCATATGTGATGAGATTATCCAGCATTTACTGTTATACAGGAGGATTAATATTACGTTACATTTCAGTACTGTTTTCTTTGTTTCTAACGATTTTTTTCTGTTTCTTAATATTTTGCTTAGCTTTTGGAAAGCATCTTTTGCTATCCCAATGTGCCTTCAGATTTCAGTGTCAGGCTTTACCTCCTCTGTTAAAGCATTTCCCAGATATTTTAAATGTTTGTATTGGCTGAAAACTATTTTATTGTTTGTTTCTATGTCAGGACCTAGTTTAACGGTGCCAAATCGACAGTTATTCGTACCATAACTACGAATTTCAGGTTTTTCCTTGTTGTCGACAATATGGGCGTATATTTTGATCTTTTTTTTTCCATTATTGTAATCATTTCACCCCAAGCAAACTAATAAAGCCCCTAAGACGCAAGTGGTTACTGAGATTGAAAAAAAAAAATGAGAAAAAGCTATTGAGTACAAGGCGTACTAAAAAACCTTTTTTTTTTTTTTTCAAAAATGATAATTGACGTTGCATTTAAATTTTAAGTTGACAAGAAAGCGAGAAGCTGGTAAAATGTTCCACAAGCGAAAAGTGTAAGAGAAGAAACTATTAGCATAGAGCTCACGATTACAGCTAGCCATTTCAACAGGAAAATGATGAGACCTAGCTACCAATCTAGTACTGCGTTTAAATTCTTAAAGTTGAGGTACCAAAGAGGAAAGCCCATGAAAGCAATTCCCATGGAAGTATTTATAGAAGATGCACATGAGTGCTACGTTACGGCGTTCGAAAAGTGACTAAAGCCGAGATGCAAGGCGTGGGCTGATGACATATATTCTTTAGATTTTGTCTCTAGATACATAGAAGACGCACTAGACGAGATATGGCACCAATATTCGATGTATTGTTTGAGTTCCCGTAATATTTTACAAGACTTTAATGGCTATAATCATCATTTAACTTTTGCCAGGAATTCTGTGAGAACGACTTCTTAATCGCTGCCTGATTCAAGCGAACTCTATTCCATAGTTCCACAATTTCAGACCTTTATAACATGGAAACGGTATTCTGCTACTGGGTCGAATCACCACCCCCTTATTCCAAATATACGACAAAAGTTCAACCTAGACTGTTTTTTCCCCCTAAGAGCAGACCACTCTCTCGTAGATAGGCCTATGACCACATCACGTTGAAATACCAGTCCCCGTACGATTATAGAAGTTAAGAAAAGTCGAGCCTGGTCAGTAACTAAATGGGTGACCGCTTGGGAGTACCAGGTGCTGTATGTTTGGATGTGCGGGTGGTGTAATTGATAATGGCTCGGAATAGTTAATTGCAGAACCGAGTTCCAATTCCAGTAGAGATCGCTATATTCACTTATGCACAAATACTCTTAGGAAAAGGTTTGAATCCGCCTCTTCTCCCGCCAGTTATGGGTTAAATAGTTAAGACTTGTATCATTACTAAAGCATCACTATCTAGAGAAAAGAAAAAAAATCTCATAATCTAAAAATATTTTCTGTCTTTAAATAACCTGCAACGGGTTGATAAGCCGTAAAAAATGAAGATGCTACCCTGAAAACTACTAACTCAAACTCTTTAGGTGAGGATTAATCATTACCTATCCTTATCCTTGTGAACTTCTCTTTTCATAAATATTTTAAAATTAACACTCTACCTTGAGTAGCTCTCTTGTATTGACTAAATTTTAGTATTAAAAAGAATAACGTTATAGAGAATGCCGCCACATCAAGAACTGACACGAAGTCCATTTGAGAAAGATTTGTTTTTATATTTCCAAATATATGTCCACTATTTTCGACGTTATGTGGTAGAAAAACTTAACACAAAACAAGAATACATGGTAAATATTACTGATATGTTTATAGATTTTGAATATTATTTTTTCAATGAATTAATTTTTTCGTTTTTTTTATTCTTTTAACAAATGAAACCTTATCAACCATCATTAATATTTAACTGACAACGTGAAATCACTCCATTGTCTTTCTCAAAGAGTAATGGCAGTTCACAGATATTAAAGAAAAGGAAAGTGTGGAATTAATATTACACAGATTACATAAGATGGAATTAATATTATACAAATTACATACAAAGGGATTAATATTACAGAAATTAGTATGACAAAAATTACATAAAAATGAATTAATATTGCACAAATTTCATAAAAAGGAATATTGCACAAATTACATAAAATGAAATTAATATTACACAAATTACATAAAAAGGAATAATTATTACACAAATTACATAAAATGGAATTATTACACAAAATCTCAAATTCAGTCAATTTTACGATGAAAGCTTATAAATATTGGATTTATTATTTACACAATTTACATTCGTACTATTGTCCTCATCTTTGTTGTTGTTATCACAACGTTTCGGCCGTTTTGATCTCTGGCTTTCCTCAGGTGTATATCGTTCTGTGTCACCTACATGGCATTCTGAACTGAACCTTTTATTTAATCTACGTAGATAGACAGTTCTCGTTACACTGCCTATGTCTAGGGATATTGTCTAGTTCTCATTTATAATACTGCTCTGTGTCGGACACCCTGCACTTTGATCCAATGAAAGCGAGCAGGCTTTAAGCAGTACGGAAAAATATGACGAGATAACCATATGCACGAGAAGTGGAAGGACAACAATCTACTTCCGTAGTTTTTTTTTTTTAATTGGAAGGCATTAAAGCCACTAAGACACAAGGAGATAGTGAATGCCAGCGAGTCAAAACAAAATAGTGCGTAACATGTCTAATGTGTTTATGCAGATGTATGACAGAACAGGTACTGGGACAGACATTAAAATGACAAACATCGCTTAGAGCTATGTTAGTTAATTGTGAAAATCCATAAAAGATCAGTCCTTAATGCTATCTGACATTTACATACATCAGGGGTACTTTAATGTAGTCACTTAAATAATTTCCTCTATGGTACCTAGATTTTATGAATTTAAGCGCAGTACTAGATTAGCAGCTAGGTCTGACAAATTTTACAGTTGTAATGGCTAGAACCGTAAGTTCTATACTAAGATTTTTTTTTCTCTAGCACTTCTCGCATACGGAACCCTCTTCCGGCTTTTTGCTTTCCAATCAACTTTGACCTTCAAAAATTTAAATGTAATGCTACTCTTTATCTTCTATCTTTTTAAAATCGTTCTTTTATTGTCCTTTCTCTTTAATAATGCTTTTTTTTTTATCTTTTTCTCGTTCTTTCACACTCAGTAACCCCTTTCATCTTACTGGGTTTATTGCCTTAATTAAAAAAATTGAATTTATGCTAGACTCTGAACCTTATGTACCATAAACTTAATAAAGATCGAATTCAATATTGACCTAAGCAGCGAGGATACATGGATACTACTCCACGATGAAGCATCCCCCTTTTATTGCCCAAATCTTAAGCCACTTAAACTTCGTCCTCCTTTTTCTCATATTTTCTCATCCTTACTAAATCCTTTCGTTTTAGTGGCTTCATTGCCTTGCTTCGGGTGAAATGATTAAAAACTTGCATATGAAAAAAAATATATACTTTTATTACATTCTTACATGAAGTAACGTTTGCAATTAATAGCAGGAATCCATTGCTTTCTGGTTTTGGGGCATCAACTTGTTATTAGTTTGTGATTTGGTCTACATTAAATGACACATATAACTATACCTATACTCTAAAAGGCTGCTCGTAACAGATGCAGAGAAGGTAAGGCCTCGCTAATGTTGTGCAAGCGGTGTCTGATTCTGCACTGTCCAAACCAGAAAGTCAATTTGGATTGTTTGCATTGGCTCAAGTTGGCGGAGAAAATTACCTGATTTGTTTTGGGCGATTTAAGAACAAGCTCAAATAAATGGATGCACCGATTAAGTTGCGATTGAATTTACCGGAATCCACTTACACTTGTTCAAACAGAACATTTATCGACTTATTGCGATGCGTTGGCCTCTGTCTGTCATGAGCGATTATTAATACAGTAGTTATGATACATTCGTCGTCAGGACAAGAAACCGTAGGGAGAATGAAGAACAGGCCACGCTGCTACCATCTTCCTGCCTGCCTGCCTGCAGTCGAGGAGTGCTAAGGACATTGCTCACTGCTACATTATAGTTGGCGCTCCAGTTGACAAGAAATTATACTTGTGATGAAATATTGTTGGGGGGGGATGGAGGTCAATAATGGCTATCACTAAGCAAATAAACGCTGATGGTGCAGGGTAGTGAGGGGTCGATATACAATAAAAATAGCAAAAATGTAATAAACCTATTTTATTGAAACCAAATTCACCAGGATCATAAACATGGCGAGATGGTTATTAAGAGTTTTATGCATATATAAACATCTCCAGTTGAATGTTATAAATAGATAAATTAGTAGATCTAATATATGAAATTAGTATCTATTATATACAATTATATTGCACACACACACACACACATATATAATATAACAAAATTAGTTACAAAATTAAATTACTTACACATGGCACATTGGATAAAGGCGTTGGTTAGATCCAGTGACAGGACCCAAAGAGTGTGAGTTTAATACCCAGTTAAGGCAGTGGAGAACTTGCAGAGGAGAATTAACAGGAGATAACTGATAACTGACATCCATTAAACATGGCACGTGGAACTACAACAGTCTACCCCAGTGAGCGAAATAAAAGGTTCAGTTCAATATTCCAACCACATGAAGAAGGCCGGAGCGTACAACGGCCGAAACGTTCTAATAAATATGATGACAAAGATGAGGACAATAGTCCGAATAATGTACTTCATATTTTATATATAAAAAATATATATCTAAATTATATAATATTACTTATTTAATATTACTATTCGCGTTATTTTTAGTGGGTACACGTATTTGAGTGGCTATCCTGCCTTGTTTTGTTTTTTGCTTTTTTTTTTTAAACAATTAAATTAACAACAACCGGCCTAGTTTGAAAAAAACTTACTAAAGAAAAAATTGTGCCTCCGACAGAAGTCGAACCTTCATCCACTTTTTACATTAGGAAAACCACTTCTAAACCAGAAAGGTGCTATAAATAATAAAAATATAGGAATAGCAACTCAAATGCATGTAGCCACTAAAAGTAACGTTTATACTAATAAAAAAATATAAATTATATATATCAGTCAGTTATGTGCCCTACGTGATAAACGCTTAAGCGATCATGCACCTTTCGATACATGACTGACGAGGCAGATTTTTTTTCCGCATAGGTTGCCATTTATTTCTATGGTAGACCAGTTGCCCTCCTAGGCTATAGAACCTGGTCTATGTCTTTCTACTTACCCATAGCTGGGGGGGAGAAGAAGGGGGTTCATACCTTTCCCAAGGGTTATTAGCACGACTGGAATTCAAACTCGGCTCTCTGATTCCTCATTCCGAGCCGCTATCCATTACTTTACCGTGTCTCCTACGATATATAATTTTTTTTATAGTTTACACGGTCTGAAGATTGCATTTAGGCATGCAACCACTTCGTGTTGACCTCATGGTTCACTTTTATATTTACATACGCTCAATCTCTGATATTGAGCACTTGCTAATCAGAACCGTTTTCACTGTTTAAAAACACAATCAACTTCACAGATAAAGCTTTTCCCTAAAGCTCTTAGTGTAAAATATTCTACAGGCGAATTTTGCACCATGATATCATTGCTATGCTTTCTCGTCTGTGCTAAAAAAAAAATGGATTCCATACTTGTCTGCATTGTAAATTCCTGTGTTCGCCTCTTTTAATAATTATTCACCCAGCGCAGTGGATGGCTTAGCATTTCACTTATAACTTCTAAAAGAATAAAAAAAGAAAGGTAATTTGAAAGCTTTCTCCGGGGAAGATTAGATTCGAAATTTTGATCATTTTTATTCGAATAATGAAAATTCGAACTCCATTTTCTTCTTGCATATCACCATACCGTCTGTTCGCCTCGTATCTCACAGAAGAAGAAAAAATGAATCTTGCCAACGATTGGTTCTTGAGGCCAAATTAAAGCGACTTAATTTTCGAAATTATACAAATCAAACGTCTCTAACTATATAATATACCCACATACGTGTTAGGAAAGAGAATAGACAAATTCAGATTGACAAACATAGCGATGATTATTTTGGTTGCAATTGTTACAGAACGAGTTGGATAGGGAAAAATGATAATTGTATTAAATGGAATTCCGAATTCTACTTTAAAGGTCAGAACGACTCGGAGTGAGTCGAGGGAATTTCAACAATACGTAGACATTTAATTTTTACAGTGATGTGTGT